GGTGGTTCTGCATCTTGCCTCCACCTTGCAGTCTCCTTAAGACACCCTTCCTGCTGCACCGGGCTTTGCGCCCTGGCTTTCTGGAAGGAAGAAACCCTTCCTTCATGCATCCAGCCAGAAGTGGCTCCCACCTCTCAGATGTTTGCCCTCCAGGCTCTTGGACGCGCAACTATCCCCACTCCACCAGGGACTGGCGTGCCCACCATCAGTGTGGAGGGTGACCTGGACGCCAGGGAGACTAAGACCACCCTTCTATCATATACAGAGACATATTTACAGCACATAAAGATATGTGTATAAAAATATTGTCAGCCACACTGGTGTCTGGCTGTGCGGACAGTCCCTTTTGCCTACTCACACCTGTTCATCTAGCTTAGTACCCACTTAGAGATTAGAATGATTAAAAAATATGTTATTACTGAAACTGCAGGGTTGTGTATGCAATGGCGAGTCCTGTTTTCTTTTGGTGGTGGGTTAATCCAAACATTAGTACAGGCTTCAAGTCCTCTGTGCTTTTAACAAGAACGGTTGTGTCATCCACACGTTGCAGGTGGTTAATGAGTCTTCCTCCAATCCTGATGCCAGGTTCCTCTGCACATAGTCTAGCCCTTACACTGTTTGCTCAGCAGACTGAATGAGGATGGCTATGGGATACAATAACCCCGATGTACACACCTTTCCTGATTTTAAAGCACGTAGTATTTCCTTGTCCTGCTCGAATGACGGCACAGGAGCACAATGAAGTGTTGGGGAATTTCCATCCCTTGCAACGTTTTGCATAATTTGTTTTGAATTATACAGTCGAATGCCTTTGCATAGTCAATAAAACCCAGGTAAACACCTTTCTGGTATTCTCTGCTCTCGGTCAAGATCTACCTGACATCAGGCCACATCCTTTTCTGAATCTGCCCCGAGGTGACATCAGACCCTTCGGATGCTTTCAAAGTTGTTGGCTGCTTTCTGCTGAGGGCCAGCGCCAGGCCCGGGTCTCAGCTCGGGCCAACCACTTAGTGGGAGATAAGTCCAAGATGCTGGGAGGCAGGACTCAGGTATCATGTTCATTTTACAGATAAGACATCGAGGCTCAGAGCAGCCAGGTGGCTGCCCGAGTTCACCCGGTACTGAGACAGAGCAGGGTCAGATGGACTCAGTACTGGTCTCTGGCAGCGGGTGACTGGGCACACGGGTCCTGTCTCGTGGTCTGCATAGCCGACGTGCACAGTGGCGTGTCTGTGATAGCTTGCGTGGGCAGATTTCTCGCTGGCGTAGCTGTTAACCTCCTGCTGCTCACCACAGCCACCACAGCCACTCCCATTCTGTCTCTGAGGTTAGCTGGGTTACTGCCTCCCGAGGCACGAGATGCTCCTTCTCACTGGGCTAGAGGTCCTGGGTGCTGGGTCTGAGCAGGGCACAGAACTTGAGTCTCAGTTTCCCCAATGCCCTTCCTTCTAGCCCGGGCTTTCAGTCTGTTAGTGGGGGTTCTTCAGGACTCTGTCCTGGCTCACTGAGGACCCCTATGTCAGGGGTTCCAGCACCTCATCCTACCGCTTGTTCCATCACCCGCCCCTAGAGCTAGGCTTCCCTGTGGAGGCAGGCGGGCAGAGACGTGCACGCTCCGCTGCCCCAGGCCTAGGCATATGGCCAGGGCTAGATGTTGGCGGCCCCCACAGCTCCTGGCTGCAACTGAGGGTGGTCCAGGTGCATGGGGGCCTGTGTATAGAACCCCCGGGGGAGGTCTATTCCTGTATCCTGCGCGGGCCTATGCCTCAGGGACATCTGAGGGCCGTGGGACAGTTGCCCCCTGGTCACTGAACCTGCTGCCCCTTCCTTCACATTGGCAGGTTGCAAGGACCCAGGCCCTGCTCAGGTATACCCAGCCTTCATGGAATTGTGGATTCAAGTTGGGGCTCTGTGCACCCTCATCCTGACCTAGAACAGGGACCCCCTGCACCTACCCCAGCCACCCTGGGGTCTTTCTTCCACTCCTCCCCCTCATGCCAATAGGGAACAGTGTTGGCCGAGGAGAGCGGTGGGCGGGGAGAAGGGAGGGGCAGAGCTTTAGGGTAAGCAAAGTGCTTATCTGGCAGCTTGGGTGCAGCCCTGCGGCCTGCTCTCCCTAAAAGGCCCTGTGAGGTTCCGCGACCTGCTGGCTGTGCTAAAGGAGACATGGCTACTGGAGACCCCACTTCTTCCCTCACGAAAAGCCTTAGGCCTGCTCAGAGGTCTCTGTGGGGCTTGGAGCCTAGGGCTAGGGGAGGGCCACAGCCCCTGCCTGCTCCCCAGCCAAGCAGCTGCTCAGAGCCACAGAACTGGGCCTGAGACGCAGGGTATACTTCTGCAGGAGGGGACACAGCAGCAGTTTCTTAAGAAGAGCAAGGGTGCCTGGACTACAAGCTCTACTTCCTCTTTTGGCGAAAACGGCAGTTGGCTGGCTGTGCTGGCTGGTAAATCTGCAACTTCTGTCCCCGAGGTCTGCAGCCGGTGGTCCTGGGGCTCACTGGGGTTGGGTGCTGTGGGCTACTCCTGAGAACACAGGTCTAGACTCCTTACAAGCTTTTGTGGGCGTGAGAGCACTGTGCTGCCTACCACTCCCTGCCCTGGATAGCAGGCACCAATGTAGCTGCCCGACTGAGGACCACATCCTAGCTGTGTGGACTCAGGTAGATTAAAGAACTTCTCCAAATCCTAGTCTCCTCATAAAAACAAACACAAGAGCCAATGCCCTGTGCCTGTCTCCTCGGGCTGTTGGCGGGCTTAAAGGGGGTCTTCCCATTATAGGAGAGTTCCTGAACATCCATCCCACAGCATAGAACGAGCCCTCACTGCTTACTCCCCTTCTGTGAGGCAGTGGGGTCTTGGTCAGATGCTTGGAGGAAGTGTTTTCAGTGGGAGGGCTAGGAGTGGCGGGGATGAGGGGGGCCTCTTTTCCAGAACCCTGTGCCCAAGCGCCTCCTTCAGGCCCCTTTGAGGAGGGTGGGGTAGCGACAGGTCCTGGGCTGGCTGCCCTGGCTGACAAGGACTTGAGCCCCTGCCTTCCCTACAGGGGACACGTGCCCTTGCAGGCCCCATCAGGGCTCAGCTAGCTGTGCCTGCATCTTTGGCTGCTGGTCCAGGCAGTCCTTGCTCTGCTGTGCCAGGGCTGCCCCTGGGGTACCACTGCATCCAGGGGGTGGGGGAAAGCTGGGGGCCCAGCTGGAGCGCCGCTGGTTTTGCCAAAATGGCTCCCAGGGCCTAAGGGCCTGAGCAGTCTGTCCCTATCTCACCCTCGCTCCCCCCCAGCTGGGCATGGGGTCTGGCTCAGTGACTTGAGGTTGACCTTGAGCAGGTCAGTCCTCTGTGGACCTCAGCTCTGCCGGGGTCTGCCCCACCCCAAGACCAGAGCAGCGGCTGCAGGGGAGATGGTGGCGGACGGCCAGCGATGCTCGATGGTCTCTAGTCCCTCGGCTCTTCTCCTAGGCCACGTCACCCCAGACTGCAGGCTGCCTTCTCCTTCCTGACTTCTCACCAGAGGCTTCTTCAGACAGACTGAACCAGTGAGGCAGGGCTTGCCAGGAAGACAGTTTTTCTGAAAACATGCTATCTCCCTAAGCCATTCCTGGACCAGTGAGGTTCATAGCGCTCAGCCCTCAGCAGATTCTCATCTGGACAGCCCACAACTCAGGTGGCAGCTTACAGGGCAGAGAGCAGCTGTGTACCTAGGAGGTTGGCACCTCAGGATAGGCCAGGATCCACCTCAATGCCCCGCCCTTGGCAGGGGCCAAGACTTCCAGCCAACCCGCCCTCACACACCGACCCAGGCAGGGCCTCCCTATTCCCGCCTTCCCAATGAGGCCAAGGACATAGGTGAGACACTAAGCAGGCCACTAAGTAAGGGTACTTATAGGCATGCAATAGAATGTTTTCAAGAACGAGGTGCCAAAATCCCAGCTTGGGGCTTTCTGGCAAAAGTTACTGGGTGGTCTTGGAAAATACAGCCTCCCCAACACCCTGGACGCCAACATTGAAGACTTCCTCAGCAACCCATTATCGGTGTTGGGCCATTCTATGACCCGGGATTCCGAATATTATCCAGTTTGGAATAATTTGATAGGCAAAAACCGTACCTCTTTGTTTTAATTTGTATTTTAAATTAGAGATCAAGCACCTTTCCTATATTTGTGGACCATTTGTATTTGTCACATTCTATTCTGTGTATTTCTTAAAGAGGACGTTTCTTTCTTAGAGATTTATAGGTTATCTTTGCATATTATGGAGAGTAATGCTCTGTGATATCTAGTTCCGTCACTTGTTTCCGGCTTTGCGTATGCTGTTTTATACAAAGAGTCTTTGGTTTGTAGCCATATGAAGCATGGCCTCCCCTGCCATCTGATAAGAGCTGGATGGTGCCTGGCTATCACTACTGAACCCTACTGAAGGTTCTACAGGGACTCTTGATCAAGAGGTGGGCAATTCCAAGCAGGATTTCAAAGCCTCACGGACCCCAGACTTTCTGGAGCCACAGAGAGTGGAGGAACCCCTGAAACTCTTGCGCTGAGATAATCTTTCATCTCAAACCAAAAACACGCTGAGATCTTAAGACCAAACCGGCTTAGCTTAACTAGTGACGGATGTCTGCCTAGAACATTCTGTTCTCGTAAGATCACTCTATGGGATTTGTGACCACAGCAACTCTACAGATTAGATAGAAACCCAGGGGGCAGGGAGTTTACACTGAGGGGAGAGGAACAACTCAGAAGAGGAGGGTGGGAAGGGGGCACAAGTGGCAGAGGCCTCCGTGGAACCGCATTGAACATATAGAAATGGTGGTATCGGCAGAGAGTTTGCAATAGCAAAAAACCCCAAAAAAGCAATCCTCGCGGTGTCCTCTGGCATCCGGGTCCCATGCTGTGCTCCCACTCGCTCTCGGGGCTGACTCAGACCTTCTGAGAAACAACAGCCACACGCTGCTGCGGCAGCCAATCATGCCTCTTCCGAAGAAAAGTGTTTATTTTAAAAATGAGAACCATCACCCCAAGCATTTATTTAAATATTAACAGATACCGGGTAAAAAAATTACCGATGGTGTGACAAGACTCACAGTTTTATATTCACAGATGGTCCAAGGCTGACAAACAAGAAACGGATCTGTGTTCATCGAGACGTGGTCATTAGGAAAATGCATACGAAGGCTTCAGAAACGGCCTATTTTTAGGCTTTGGTGGCGCCATGATCCCCAGTTTCCTACTGGCTACTGAGGTAGTTTGAGCCCCAAGGCAGGCGGGACCGGAGCCAAACGTGTCCGCGGATTTTGTTGTATAGGCTGTCTTTCTGCTCGTGGTGTGCGCCCTGAAATGTGACCCAGAGAAGAAAGTTACAACGCTGCATGAAAACCTCCGTGAGCACCCAGCCCTTTTCCTGGTCTCACGCAGGCTTTGTGCCCTCTTGGCTTCCGCTTGCTCGAGCAAGGTCTGCTCCCTTCTATTATACTTGCCTTTCTAACATGTCCAGGACGGTGCTCTCTCTCTGTCAGCACCTTTCATTGCCTGTAACCAGGTCCCTCCAGCTGACATGGGTCCACATTCCCCAATCTAGTCTAACCAAATGAAGGCACCTGGTGTCTAAGCCTCACACCTGGCCCAGACACCTCAGAAGTACCCCACCTTGCACAGTTTGGCAAAGGTGGTTCAGTGGGTGAGTGGAGGAGAGCGGTGTGTAGGCCCTGCTTGAGCTTGCTTGGCCACTGCTGCCAGGAGGGTGGGGGAAGCAGAGGCTCCTCTTTGCCAGCAGAGGGGAGGGCCAGCAAGGCCTGACCTGGCTCTGCCAGCAGCACTGATTCTCCTGGCTTGCCAGCCCCGCCTTTCCCAGCCAGGGAAGAAGCCCCTACCACGGCCACTGCCCAGTCCTTCCAGTGCCTCACTCCTCCTGAGCCCTGAAGATAACAGTTCTCCAAAAACACAAAACCAACACACTGCCACCGAGTCCATTCAGGCTCCAGCCAGGGATGGGGCAGGGGAGCACTGTCCCTGGAGGTTTCCGAGACTGGAACTCTTTGCAGGAGGAGAAAGCCTCGTTTAGAACTGCAGACCTCACTGCGGTTAGCAGCCCAATGTGTAACCCAGACACCACTGGGCGCTACAGCTCCCCACAGCCCCCAGTAAAAGCCAAGCACCTCGCTGGGCCCTCAGGTGCTCTGTGATGCAGGCAGCCACATTTCTCTACCCGAGCATCCCTGCGAGACTGCGCCAGGTGAATTCCAAAGGACGGGCGCGCTTGGCTGCTCCTACCCAGATAGCAGGGTCAGGATCTCCCGGCCAGCAGCATGCTGCCTGAGCAGATGACAATCCAGCAGGGCAGGGCGGAGAGTGGGTTTTCACTGTTTTAAAACTCTTGCTGGCAGGCAGTCTTACTGCAGACAGAGGCAGAGAGGTGCCAAGGTGGCAGGAGGCAGCCCGAAACCTCCCCCTGCTGGGTTCCCAGGGAGAAATGATGCCCTGAGCGATTTACGGAATGAATCTGCCAACAGCAGCTCCTTCCCACAGGCCGTCCTAAGGACGCCCACTCCCGGCAGCCACACTGGTGCATTGTGGCGGCCTCGCCAGAAGTGAGGGCGTGGCCGAGGCCTCTGGCCAGGTGCCACCTTCACTGGCTCACCCCCCTACCGCGTGGATAGGTGAGCTGCTGGGGGGGTGGGCACTACCTTTCCCAGTGGTTCAGTGGAAACCGGGAGAGATACTGCTTAGTTGGCTTCTATGTTTTACTTCTTAAAGGGGCTCTTCTAATGGCTAAAAAAAAAAAAGACTGCAAAACTTAGTGATTTTAGCCAGTAGGAATTTGAAGGGGGGGAAAAAGAATCCCATTTTAAACACATCAGTTACTGAAAAACTAGCATCAGCCCGGAGAAGGCATTCGGACAAGTGTGGGCCTTACTGCTACTTATTTGATGTACCCATCGTGATGGGGCAAAGTGCTCTCTGCTTAAAGGCACGGTTTGCTTTGTGCCAACCAAGTCACATGCAGAGCTGTCCTCCCCCCAAGACTACCATGGCCAACAGGCAAAACGGAAAGTGGTCCGTGTGGCGTGGGCGAAAGTCCAGCCTGACTGTCTGTCCAGCGTAGGCAGCTCAGACAAGCCGTCCCCAGGCAGGGCCGCAGCTTCCTCCTCACAGACCTGAGGGGGCTGGACCAGCTGCCTTGGAAGGTCCCTTCTGCTGGGTGTGAGCTGCTAAGGAAATGAGCACGTCCCAATGCCCGGGGATAAGTGAAGCAAATAAGACAGGTCCCCCCGGAAGAACATCTGCTGGTCACTGCGCGCTAAAAAACCCACAAGATTAACGTGACATTTACAAAAGCCTTCTGTACCCCAGCAGAAGGATTAGCACGTACAAGATGTTTGTTTTATGGATTTAACAAGAAAATGACAATTTGGGAACGTTTGCCTGCCCTTCCCCCACAGCCACTTTTGGTGATTACCCAGAAGGAAAAGAGGTAGACAAACTGCAAAAGAAACACAACAGCTTGCATGGCTCACTCAAGACTGGGTGTTTTTTTTGGAGTAAGCAACTCAGTTACAGTGTGCAATTATTGGGGTCTCAGTCCCCAGGGGTGCAGAGTGGCCACAGGCCAGCCAAGCCTCCGACATGGCAGAAAGCAGAGGGTGCCTTTGCAGAGGGCAGGAAATGGGGGCCTTCCGAAACAATGCAATTATGATGAAACAGGGAATGCTGCCAAGGTCATGAGTGTTCAATGACAGTGGACGTCTCGTTCTCATTGTGCAGGCAGCTCCCCAACATAGGCAGGCCCCAGCCGGGGGTGTGGGGGGACATGGACACAGTCCCGTATAGCGTGGCACTTCACTGGCCTTTTGCCCTTTCTGCTCTGGCTTCCTGCCCAGGTGGGAGGTTACTGCTCCCAGGGTGAATGAGCGGCAGGAGGGGCCCAGGCCCCCCAGGTGGCAGGGCAGCAAGGAAAGCACGGTAGCAAGTACTGATAGAGTTACAAAAGCAACAGGGAGACAAAGGCACCCTTCCCTTCGTTATTTGACTAGAGGAGGACTTATAGGACTTAAGTGGCAACGTCTCATCAACAAAATAACCTGAACCAACGAACGAATGAACGAACCACACTAAGGTCAGGTCCCAATTGGGGATGTTTTGAAAATGAGAAACCTTTTGTCGCCATCTACTTAGGAGTAGGTATTTTACAAATCTGAGACAAATGCTCCACTTGGGATCAAACCTTAAGTCATGACTTCACTAACTGGGGTGACAATAATTTAATAATGGCTTATTTTAATAACTGCCTCAGAGCAAACCCGAGTGGTTGTAAGTTTCTATTTTTCTCCTTCTGCCCAGCGCTGCAAAAGACCCTGTAGAACATACCCTTTTGCCGTGGAAGCGCTGTGGCCACTTTTCCTCCTCTTCGACCTCTGGAAGGCGGTCATCCTTTTCCTCTTTCTTTCGTTTCTGGCTTTATTTGCAAAATAGTGAGAAGACACGGCTGATTCGTCATCCAGGTCCTCAGGGGCACTTCTTCCGGAGGAGGCTCGGCTGCCGGGCACGTTTGTCAGGGATGAGGGGTCCTCGGCTAGAGAAGGGCAACAGTACAGGCTTTTCAGGCCAGCCGGCTGGACCTGGTGTTCACAGGCTGTGTGAGGACCCCACCCAGATGGGACCCCTTCCTCAAACAGCTAGGGGCTTTCCCAGTTTCTCTTAGGATATGGATCCTGCAATCCAGCAAGAACAGAAAGAACTATCTTCCCCCTTCGCCCCAAGGCCCCAAGTGTCGGTGGCAGTCGACTGCCAGCGAAACGGATCCAGAATCTCATGGGTGACACTCTGGTGAGTGGCGTCAGGGTTATAGCACCGGTCTATCTGGCCGAGTCCCTGTTCCTGACGGGGCAGCTAATCCTGTTAGCTTCTTGAAAACTATCAAGTGGAAGGTACACGCCAGGTAATAATAACGCTATAATGTGCTGAATAAAACCAAAACCCAACGCGGGAGAAACAAAACTCTGGCCCATACCTCATCCATCCTTCAGCAAGTCATTTAGTAAACAACCATCAGGAAATTCTAGACCATATTTTCTTCTATATTAAAAACGCTTCTTTGCATAATAGTGGTGAACATTTCACACGTCCTGCAGAAAACTGGTTTTTATGAAAGCATAAATTTGCAAAGGATATGGTAATTTCCTAACATCTTTGCATCCCCAGGCACCCAAAACGCAGGAAACCACCCACTGGTCACCTAGGGATCCCCTCCTTTTTCTGAAGAGACACTGCCTGGGGGCTCTGGTTCACCCTATGGCCTGGAAGTTGCACCAAGGCCACATCAGACACCTCTGTGCCTCCCTGGTCCCCACAAGGAGGCCTGGGCAGCTTGGGCTCTGCCAGTCCAGCCGGAGGCTTTTGGAGAAATGACAAGGCTTTATTTTCCTCTCCTGTGACACGAGTGGTATGAGGAATTCATGGCAGCAAACAGGCTGAGGCCTGAGCTTCCCAGAATCAGAGGCAGTTATCAGCGCCCCATTGGGCGGTTTCTGCAGGCCGAGCTGCCTTGTCTGATGCTGGCACCCACCCCCACTCCAAAATAAGTGACTGCACTCAATTGGTGATAAGTTCCGACCGAGAGATTATTTCCCCTTTCAAATGCATTCACAGCAAGGTTTTTAAGGGAATAATTACCACGTCCAAGAATGAATGAAATCCTACTTTTCAGAATTTTGTCCCCAAACCAAAGTCACTGTCAACGAATTCATTCTGACTCGTACTGACCCTATAGGGCAGGGTGCACTGTCCCTGTAGGTCTCAGAGACTGTAACTCTTCACAGAAGTAGAAACCTTCTTCTTTCTTCTGAAGAGCGGCTGGTGGCTTAGAACTGCTGACTTTGGGGTTAGCAACCTACTCATAACCACTATGCCATCAGGGCCCTGTGCCTGCAGAATTTTGATAGTGGAGAAACAGGTTGAAATATATGCTCTCTCATTTCTTACACTGCTGTCTGCTTCCATTAGCCTTGCCCGGGGCCCTTACAGAAGGAAGAAAACCACTTTAACCTGGAGTTTCTGCTGTGTCTCCATACGCGGCAGTATCCGAGAGGAGGGCGCACAGCCTCTGCACGCTTATGCTCCCACAGCAGCGCATCCCTGTGCCCTTCGTTTCCCTAGTCAATGCTTTCCACGGCGCGGGCGGGGCTCATGAGAGGCACGGCAGCACAGAGCCCAGTGCAACCTTGGGGAATGGCTGTCAGCGATGTATCACGGGGGTAGAATCTTCTAGTGACTAACAAGACTGGTTAGCACTCCAACGACACACTCGTTTCCCCCCTAACATTTTGAACTTTGCTCTTTTAATTTTATCTTTAGACATGCTTGTCAGATAACATGTTCCTTCCTCAGATAAGGAAATGGAAGCACAAAGCAGTACTTGTGGCCTGCCCATGAGCACAGAGAGATGGGAACCCGGGCCTCCGGAGTCAGCAGACAGCCCTCACACAGCACTGGCACTGCTGGGTCCCACGCCCCTGAGGGGCCCATGAGCCTATTCGGTAACGGACCCTTGGGGCCTACACACTGACTGCCCTCTCAATGGTGCCTGGCACCTGCTGGGGGCTGCTCGGATGCGTGAGCTTTTGCATGCAGTGTGTGGGACGTATGAACACAACCTGGAAACCACGGACTTTCAGTCTCGCGCGATGCCCCGAGTAAGGGTGTGATAAGCTTTTAGAGAGCACACACTTGGCTGTATACGAACCTGGCAGTGTCCAATCCGAGTACCTCTGTAAGACTGGAATCACTTCCGCACCATATTTTTCCAGTTTGTCTTCAGTCACACCATCAATTTGAAGCAAAACCTCAGGATCAGACGATAAAGATTCTGTGCATGGGGGTAAAATTAGGAATTTAAATGACCACCCGGAGAAAACCCACGGAACTTAGGCTCATCCAGCCACTCAGCACATGGCTCTGAGAGGGCCACCAGCTGCCCCGAGTGCTCTCAGCGGCAGCGCTGGTATCGGGAGAGGGAGTGGACAGCCGTTCTAGGAGCAGCGGTGCAGAAGTCAGAGTGGGAAGCAGGAGAGGGCCCAGGCCTGTCTCTGGCCACAGGAGTCTACCTAGACTTTCATCCTGCGCATGGATTCCACTAGAGACAGGCTAGCTGTGGAGCAGGACCAGGCTTACAGTCCCAGCCCCGCCCTCTCCTTAGCACCCTAGGCCTGCATATCCTACTAAGGCCACAGCTGACTTCTTGCTGCATGTTGGACAAAGCAGTCATTCTGTTGTAACTTTAACAAGTGGGTAGTCCGCTGCATATGGCTGGCAGGTCAGCCTTATAGTTAGATAAGCCTATATTTTTAAAGCGCCCTCTGATGTGCAGAAAATGGACTGTGAGGGTACAGAGGCATACTGGGCCCTGGTGTGAGCAAGGTCAGTGGAGATGGAGGGGTGAGGCAGGTTTGGCTAGCTTCTGGATGGGCTATGGGGAGTGAGCGAGTCCCAATTCCTTCAAGCCTGGTGGATTTCAAATCTTTTCAAATCTGTGATTTTCATACCACGCCTCTGTTTGGGGGGAAAGAAAGAGGCCTGTTGGACAGGAGGAAGCTTTCTGAAGGGAGCTAGAAGCAGGAAAGGTGGGAGAGGCAAGTAGGAACAGAGACCCTTTATGGATTTGTACTTCCCCAGAGAGCTGTTGTAGTTGTAGCAGAGTGGTTGAAAAGTGAACACGTTTACCATTTTAATGTCTGTTAAGTCACACCTGGAGGGTCAGGAGACCAGCCAGGAGACTGCGGACAACCCGGGAACACAATACTGTGTTCCACCGAGTCTGAGACACACTCGCTCGCTCGCTCGTGCTTTAGCATTTCTGAAATGGAGACGTGTCTTACAACTGCTGACGGCCCATGGCAGCTCCACAGGGCTGTCACTGCCCGTGCATGCGCAGACGCGGTCTAGCTGTTAGTACTGCCGGCACGTCAAAGGCTTTGCATCGTTGCAGGGTCTTCACCTGTGGAGTGCAACTGCCACCTGAACTGTCTGCAGAGCCTCAAATGTGATCAGCACTGGAGTGAGAACAGGGCTGTGAGCGCAAACATGCAGAGTCACAAGGACGACACCCGGCGGCTAGAAAGACAGTGTCTGTCTCTAAGGAAATGATCACAATCCGATAGTTTCTTGAAAGCAACAGCCAACTACTTTACATGACCTAAATCAAGTTACTTTGATAATTTATACACATACACACACGTATATGCACAGAATTACATGATAAAAATATATTTCTAAATAACAAGAACAAGTCTTTCCATCAAAGCAGCGTGTCATAGTTTAATGAGACTTTCTTCTTCCTTAGTCGTCCATAAAATAGCAATGGCTTAAAACAGACGGCGTCTTAGAGCTACTGGCCTTGTAATGAGCTGTGGTGGCAGGAACGGGGATGGAACGAAGGAGGGAACGAAGTAAGAGATGCTTATGAACGAGAAATAAGGAAGATAATGCATGGAAGTGCTTCAAGTGTGTTTGTGGAGAAATCCCACAATCTTCTTATTGCCTTTTCCCATGAACTTTTTGAAGTCCTCTTGTATAACGAGCAGTCAGTCACGTGAGATGGCTTGTTTTCCCAGGGACTGCACTCTTGAGATTCTGGGTTGCGCTATCTATAGCCACGAGAGTAGCTGAGAACTGTAAGTATTTGTTACTAAAGACATAGCATGGTGCTGGACCAGTGTCCAAAGAGGCATAAGACATGATCTCTTTTCATAGGGAACTCAGCTTGCCACTGCTGAAAACACTGTGCATTAGATTGCTCAACATTGTCAGGAATGTTGGCAAAGAGCAAAAACCCATGAAGTGGCAGAATGAGTAGCACTCTGATTTTAGAGATGACAATTCTCCAAATCCTAATGTCCAGCATACAGTGAAACTGTAAAGTGTACATGAATTCATTTGGGAATAATAAAATACCAAATATGTTTTAAAGTGCATTTGATTTCAGGAATGAGTTCAACGGTTTCTTTAAGCTTTCAATGCAGAGACCAAAGACTAATAATAAAAAAAGACATATGCTTATGTCTTTTTAGACATAACGGGCTGACCTGTACCACGTCACGGAAGACGTACCTGCAAGCTTCTTGAGGGTGGCAGTATTAAAGATATTGAAGTAATGGACACCAAACACTTTGCCCAGAGATTTGCAGACTTCTGTAAGTTCTCCAAGACATTTCTTGACCATCTCCTCCCTCTGAGATACCTTTGCCACTAAGGCTTTCTGCTTTTTCACAGTGCTGGAATTTTCCGTTTCCATAAAGTCCACCTTTATGAGGGAGAAAGGAAGCATAAGGGTGGGTACAGGCATTCTTGCAGTGAAACAGGCCTTTATTTAATGTTGACTTGCGTTTCTGTTTTTGTAGTTTTGTTCAGCCCAGCTTGCCTGCAAGCCTTTGCCTGCAAGCCTGAGGCCACCTTTCTATTTCCAGGGCCCAACACGGAATATAGCCTCTTAATAGAAATTTATTCAGTGACGGTTTGACAAGTTCATGATCTGATGATCGATTGATGACCTTCACAGAGATAGGTGGCATATTACCTGGGCTGAGTTTTAACCTCTCTTTCTAAGTTAATAAAGAGCCCTGGTGGTGTAGTGGTTCTGTGAGCTGGAAGGTCAGCAGTTTGAAACCACCAGCTCTTCTGAGGGAGAAAGATGGGGCTTTCTATTCCCATGAACCGGTATAGTCTCGGGAACTCACAGGGGCAGTGCTACTCGATCCTACAGTCACTCTGAGTTGACGTCAACTTGATGGTGTGAACAAGAACAAAATATGTTCCTACTTGGCAGTGTATACAAGATTCCATATCCAAAGGTTTTGGAAGATGCACTAGAATTTACAGTAACATAGATCAACACACTCATTCTGAGATAATAGAGTAAAATAAATGTTCCAAGTGTCATACCTGTAAGTGCCCATTCAGTACAGTTTGGGCGTTCGCTCCGGGCATCACATAGGCTATTGCTTGGTCGTTGGCATTGATATATAATTCCTCATCTAAAATCTTGTCAAGTATCAGCTTTTTAAAAAGTCGCTCAGCATTGTGTCTTGAATAAGCAGATCCCTTTCCAAATATCCCCGACTGAATTTTTGCACTCTTACTCCCTGATGAGAAGACGTAAGTAAGTAAGAAGTTAAGACAGTAGACGCAGGTGCATCACCACCCTCAAACGGAGGCGGATTATTTACAGACAAGCCTGGATCAATAGGAAGAGAGAGTATTTTCTACAGGGACTCCATAGTGTCAAGAGGCAGTCTGTCCTGAAATGAGAAGAGCCAAATGAAGCTCGAAATGTCTGTGCTTCTCTGTACAAAGTTTCCTCCATTTTTAAGTGGTACTCATTGACCCCAAATGACGACAAAATAGTCTATCATTTAAAAAGTCACATTCCCAGTTTATAAAATCAATTAAACAAAGAAATCAATGAAAGAGTATACAGAAACGATGCTAGTTATGGATCCTGTGAGATATAGCTCTGCATTAATGATCTAGTTACAGAAAAATTGGGGGCCAATTTTATTAAACCACTATCTTTGGTCCTATTTGTTATAATCAAAATATGTATGTAAGTCTCCACTTTTTGTTACCCTCACTAATGAAATCCATACAAATTGTAAAACAGCTTAAGCAACGCACCCACAAGCTCCTCCAGGAATGGGAGTGGAGGTGGGGTGGGCAACATGACAGGGAGTGCACACACGTCCCTCACTTTCCTGTAGCCGAGCTTCCGGGGGGGCTAGATCCTTCCCTGTTCCCCGTGCATGCTGCTGCAGTTACTAATGTCGTCATCATCAATGCAATTTTATTATAACAATTCACTTAAGAAGGCTGAGACATTGATTATAATCAAAATTAGCGGTTACTTTATAAAGCTTCAGCTTTAATTTAGGAGTCCCAAAATAATGACATTGCAAATTTTATGGCTTCTGGCCACACTGGCTGAATTATTCCAGTTTTGCCTTCTTCGAGTGATTTGTATTCCTGAAACGTCACATTACAGAATAGCAGGGCTGCTTCGGGGATGGTGGGCTGGCAACGTGGGCCAACAACACTACTGTGTGGGCTGCTAACGCCCCTGGAGTAAAGAGACCATCTTCTGAGAAACACCTGGGAAACAGCAAGAAAGCGAAGAAACGACAGAAAAGCATGTTTGATCAAGTAAGCCTGGTAATCTCTGTAATCAGAGATGAAGCCAGAGGTTTACTTAAAGGGGCATTTATCATAGTATTATTATAATAGAAAAATGTGCCCGGAAATAGGAACTACTAAAATATATCTACTTCATCAATATAAAACAAAAATGACTAAAAATTGTCTTTAGAAGGAATTAAAAAACCAGAAAATACTCCTAGTATAAATCATGTCTATCATGTATACTGTTGGAAGGGGTTGTCAATTCAGTTTCTGATACACTATAATAAATATGTGATGGTGAGGAAGCCCGACCCAAGTCCGGGTATTTCCAGTCACCTGCTATGGAGGCAAAGGTCGGAGAGTAAGCCAGACTGCTGAGGAACTGACGCATTTGGAGTACGGTGTTGTCAAAGAAATATACCAACCTGTCTCGAAAGAAGTGGTCCTCTCTTTTCGAGGCGTACATCTTATGGACAACAATGACAATAATTGGTTGTGCGATCTCACCCCACATCGGTGTGATTAACCTTCTCTACCACCCCTGGTGAACACCCGTAAACGGTCGTCTCGCCACCATTGCCTTTTCTGATCTTTTTCACCTAAGTGGCATCAAAGAACCTTTGTCCTTTGCTGGCCTACTTCACTCAGCACAGCGTCTTCCAGCTGATTCTGTAGTATGTGCTCAGTTTCCCTAATGGCTGATATTCTCATGTCAGTCTTGTTTTGTCCTATTTGTCTTTTCAATGGCTTTCTACGGTTGTCTCTATTTTTCCTTATTTCACAGGATGTGTCTTAGATTTTTATTTTCTTTAAAGTATCATATTTGGCATTCAGTGGGTCTTCTAGTCTGAAGGCCTTTTATCTCTTTTCCTCTGGGAATGTTTCTTTTAACATTTGATCCATAATTTCCTTTCTTTATATTCTATGTCTGAAGAGGCTTGCTTGCATAGTGATTACATGTTGGGTTGCTAACTGCAAGGTCAGCAGTTCAAATCCACCAGCAATCCTGGGGGCTGGTGGGTAAGGGAGATGGGCTTTCCAGTCCTGTAGAGAGTTACAGTCTCAGAAACTTACAGGGACAGTTCTACCCTGTCCTATAGGGTCACTGTGAGTTGGCATCCACTCAATGGCAGTGAGTTTGGTTTTGGCTTTATACTCTATTCTAAAATTTTTATTAATCTTTATATCACCTAAGGACTAGTCCTCTCTATTTTTCCTCTCATATTTTCCAGTTATCTTTTAGCTCATGTCTTTGAAGATTTTCTTGACTTAGCCTGCTAACCTTTCACTAAATTTACTTTGTCATTTAAAGAATTTCCAACAGTGTTATTTAAATCTGTTTCTTTACATGTAAAGAATGTCATCGTTACTTAAGGAATACGGTATTTTAAATCTCTAAGCTTTAGTAAACTTATGAAATTTACCTTAATTACTGTATATGCTCGTGTATAAGTCGAGGTTTTCAGAACATTTTTAATGCAGTTTTTGTGGTAAAATTAGGTGCCTCGGCTGATATTCAGATCAGCTTATACTCGAGTATATATGGTATCTCCTATGTCACAGGCCGAATATTCTACTTAATTTGACCTTTCTCTTGATTGCCCATTTGTATTAACCTTCAGACACTGGGTTACGTTTTTTAGGTGGGTTCCTCTGTTGTTTTATATCTAGGCCTATTCCCCCTAAGTCTGTCCAGAATAGGGAGAGTCAGTGATGAGGTTTTGCAGTAGGGCAGGAAGGTAGGACCAGACTTTAGACTGGGCAGTCTCCAAATGCCAGCACGGGCAGAGCATTACTCTGGGGATCTGGCCTAGACGTCGCTGCCCCTGAGTTTCCTAGGGAGTTACTTTATTTTTGCTCTAACAATTAATTCTTGGCTTTCTTTGTACACGGGTTTGGGAGATGAGGCTGCAGTTCTTTAAACATCCCTCTTCCTGTTTTGGCTTCCACTCCCACCCTCTGTGCTTCTTGACTTCTGGCATGATGCCGAGGATGGGCTCTGCTGGCTGACGTTCCTTCCTTGCTCTATCGCTGCTCTACATTTATTTTGGGCAGTGGTTTACTCTATTTTCACTTGTCAACATGCTTCCACCCATTTCCTATAGATTAAGAGAAAAGGAAAAAAGATCCCTGATAATACAGTGGACCCAAATGTTGGTCATCTGAACCCCTCCAGTGGCTCTGTATGAGAATGGCCAGGCAGTCTGCCTCCCCAAAGATTACTGTTTTGAAAACCCTACAGAGCTGTTCTGCGCTATTGCACGGGGTCAGTGTTGTGTTAGCTTGTCGCAACAGCACCCAGCAGCAAGCGTGATCTGATGGCGGCCTCTCTTCTCGGCTCTATGCTGCCACGCATGTCATCCCATTTTACTGGGATGTCACAGGGTCTCGCGGAGAAGAGAAGCTGGGTATGTGCGCTCAGGCTGACATCTTGAACTGGAAGTCAGTCAACACGGAGTTCTTCCAAACAAGCTACATTCTGCCCACTCACGTGAAATAACATATGCTTTCATCTGTTTGAGTGGGAAAATTTCTCATCTCAGTGATTTAGGTCAATTTTATAAAATAAGTAGCGTAATTAATAGACATGGATTTCTTTTGTTACACAAAATGGTTTATCTGAAACTCTTAAGTATTAAAGTCTGCAAGAAATAGACAAAAGAGATTTTTTTCCTGCTGTACTTGTAATGAATTACTTAGATGCTCAATTTCATTTAACGTAACTAAAAAAAAAAAAAAAAAGGCAAAACAGATGACTTACCCAGGAAAATGTCAACCAGCATATTCATAGTAAACCTTCCAGAAGCACCTGCATGCTTTACACTTCTCACTCCTTGTGGTGAATTATGTTCTTGAACAAATCTCACGACATTTTTCACATCATCAGTCACATCTCTTGTCTTAAAATTCTATCAACAGAAAGATATTACCAACAGTTCTAATTAAAACAATACCTGGATTTCTAGGGCTTATTTTAACGGCAGCAGTCTTCTAATAAACCGTCGATGGGCTGAAACACCAAGTCGTTGTGAGAACGAAGTGACCCTTAAAAATATATCCAGAATCTGTGCACTGGTCCAGATACAGGCACTGGGAACACGTGGACTCCAGGACAGATGACCCTTCAGGACCAGTGGCGAGTGTGGGGATATAGGGAGGGGGGAGGGAGGGGAGGGTAGAAAGGGGAACCGATTACAAGTATGTGCTCAGTTTTCATATAACCCCCTGCCTGGGGGACGGACAACAGAAAAGTGGGCGAAGGGAGACGTCAGACAGTGTAAGACATGACAAAATAATAATTTATAAATTTTCAAGGGTTCACGAGGGGGAGGAGGGGAGGGAGGGGAAAATGATGAGTTGATCCCAAAGGCTCAAAAAGAAAGCAAATGTTTTGAGAATGATGAAGGCAACAAATGCACAAATGTGCTTGACACAATGGAAGTATGTATGGATTGTCCTAAGAGTTGTACAAGCCCCAATAAAATGATATATATATATATATATATATCCAGAATCTGACAACCTCACCATCTGTGCCACTACTAAACTGCTCAAATATCATTAGGACCCTTAACAGGTGTTTCTCCATCTACCTTCTACTCTTTCCAGTGCGTTCTCTGCCATAGACACCCGTTTCAGATCTAAGTTCACATCCCTCCTGTAAAACTCCACAATTCACTCAGAGTCAAAGGTCCACCTCTCTGGCAGTCTCTCTCCACTCACTAACCCTTAACTCTGCTCAGTGACGTGGGCTTTCCTCTAATGTATCAGGATGTCCCTACCACAAGGCCAACACTTCTGCTAGGAATGCCCTTCCCTTGAGAGCTGCTCATAGAAGCCCTGTCCCTTTTTCCAAGTCTCTGTTCACATCTCACCTTCTTAACCAGACTTCTTGGACCATTTTATGAGGGGCTTCAAAAAGTACATGGACAATGGACTGAAAAGATAACGGAATTTTTTCATGAACTTTTGAAGCCTGTTTGGATCTAACACTGCATCCTACACCCCTCCCAGTCGTCCTGCCTCCTTCTCGGTTGAACTCTTCTTTCCCCACAGTTCTTCTCTCTTAACAAGCATGTGCTCTACTTCTGTATTCTTTTTTTTTTTTTTTTGACTCTTAAGTTACTTCTGTATTCTTGTTGTGATCTGCCTCCCTTGGCTAGAAGGTCAGCCCCCATAGGGCAGTTACCTTGAATTCTTTTGTTCAGGGATGTAGCCCAAGCTCCTGGAACAGCGTTCCTGACAGAGCAGATGCTCAAAGAAGACGTGTGGGAGGAGTGGAGTGATGAACAATGTAGACAGGGTGGGGAAAGGCGGTGGAGAATGGCAGGGACCTGCAGATGCGGTATCAAAGGAGAGATCACCCTCTGCTCTTGTGAGCACCGCAGGCTCCTGCGACTGCAAACATTACACACTTACAGCAAGACATCGGTGAGGGTAAGTGAAAAAGTACTGCGAATGGGTTTATTCTAAGCAAAATGTGTGCAAACACGTCTCTGTGATCTGTGGATAGCTGCAGACAAGTTCTCCAGCGTTTGTCTTGGTCTCCTGAGGGTACCTTCCAAAACAGGGGTACTTATTGTGCCTTGGGGAAAACGAGCAACAATTTTGAGGTCAGGACTGATACTAAAATTTTAACAACTCAAGTAGACATCTTCGCAGGCCACTGGAACTTGGCAACAAGCTTATGGGAACGCAGCCTAACATAAAACAAGTTTCTAGATGGACCAGTGCTATAAGGAAGACCTCAGAGAAGAGCCAAGAGCCAAGGCTATCAGCCGGAAGAAATGAAGAAACTATGGCTGAAGTCCAGAAAATGGCAGAAGACGAATATAGATGTGATGGCTACTGACGTTGGGATCCCACCGAGTTCGGCATTTTCAATTATCAGTGAACATTCCAGCCTGAGTAAGTTTTTGACCTGAGGGGTGCCAAAAATGTTGAGTACTGAGCTAGCTCAAAGAGCTGATCTGTCCATTCGTCTTTTTAGCATGAATGAAGCTAATGGAGATAATCTTATGGAAGGAATTAGTCAGGGACAAATTTTGGATACACCAGTATGATCTGGAGAGCAATCAAAATAGTGGCTTCTGAAGGGATCTGTTGGGCTTGTTAAACTTGATGTGAAGAGGTCAACTCAGAAGGTTATTGTTAGGTGCCCTGCAGTTGGTTCCGACCCATAGTGACCCCATGCACAACAGAACACAACACTACCCAGTCCTGTGACATCCTTACAACTGTTCCTATGTCTGAGCCCATTGTTGCAGCCTGGATGCCAATTCATCTCGTTGAAGGCCTTCCTCTTTTTCGCTGCCCCTCCACTTTACCAAGCACTGATGTCTTTCTCCACGGACTGGTCTCTCCTCACAATATGCCCAAAATATGTAAGACAAAGTCTTGCCAACCTTGCCTCCAAACAGCACTTTGTATTTCTTCTAAGACAGAATGGTTTGTCCTTTTAGCAGTTCATGGTACTTTCAATATTCTTCGCCAGCACCACAATTCAATTCAGAGATTTTTCTTTGGTCTTCCTTATTCAATGTTCAACTTTCATATGCATATGAGGCAATTGAAAATACCATGATAGAAGCATTACTGAAATCCTATGAAGGTCAAACATGATAGTGGGACACGAGGAAAGTAAAAGGAAATAGAGGAAAGAAGTAGGAGGCAAAGGACATTTATAGAGGTCTAAATACAGATATGTACATATTTATATATAACAATAGGCAAATAGATTTATGTACATATATTTACGTGTTAAGTATTAAGGTAGCCGACAGACACTGGGCCTCTACTCAAGTACTCCCTCAACGCAAGAACACTTTGTTCTAATAACCCGGAATTCTGTGATGCTCACCTTCCCTACACGATCGCTGAAGACAAAGTGGGTGCATAAGCAAATGTGGTGAAGAAAGCTGATGGTGCTTGGCTATCAAAAGATAGAGCATCTGGAGTCTTAAAGGGTTGAAGGTAAATAAGTGGCCACCTAGCTGAGAAGCAATAAACCACATGGAAGAAGCACACCAGCCTGTGCGATCATGAGGTGTCTATAGGATCAAGTATCAGGCATCAAAGAACAAAAAATCATATCATTGTGAATAAGGGGGAGTGAGGAGTGGAGACCCAAAGCCCATCTATAGACAATTGGACATCCCCTTACAGAAGGGATGCAAGGAAGAGACAAGCCAATCAGAGTGCAGTTATAGCACTGATGAAACAAAACTTTCCTCTAGTTCTTTAATGCTTCCTTCCCCCCACTATCATGATACCAATTCTACCTTACAAATCCAGCTAGACCAGAGCATGGGTATAGATGGGTACAGAGCATTGGTACATGGGTACAGATAAGAGCTCGTAACCCAGGGAATCCAGGACAGATAAACCTCTCAAGACCAATAACGACCCTGGGGGATGGACAACAGAAAAGTGGGTGAAGGGAGACATTGGGCAGTGTAAGACATGAAAAAAAAAAATTAATAAACTATCAAGGGTTAGGGAGGGAGGGGAAAAACGAGGAGCAGATACCAAGGGCTCAAGTAGAAAGCAAATGTTTTGTGAATGATGATGGCAACAAATGTTTAAATGTGCTTGACACAATGGATACATGTACGGATTGTGATAAGAGTTGTACAAGCCCCAGTAAGATGATTTTTTTTAACAACACTAAAGATAAAAAAGGAGTTTTATATATTAATGAAAAAATATTAGTACCTGACAAAACTAATAAAACTGTTATTTAAAAAAACAAAGCCAAACCAATAATGAGAGTTGTGGGGGCAGAAAGTGGGAACCAATCACAATGATCTACATATAATGTCCTCCCAGGGGGTCAGACAACAGAAAAGTTGGTGAAGGGAGACATCAGACAGTGTAACACATGGGGGAGGGGGATTATCAAGGGTTCATGAGGGTGAGAGGATGGGGGAGGGGGGAAATGAGCTGATACCAAGGGCTCAAGTAGAAAAAAAATGTTTTAAAAATGATGATGGCAACATATGTACAAATTTGCTACACAATGGATGTATGGATTGTAATAAGAGCTGTAAGAGGCTCCAATAAAAATTATTTAAAAAAAAGAAAATATCATGGCTTGAATCAGGCATACCTTAGTCTTCAAAGTAAAACCCTTGCTTTTCAACACTCTAAAGAGGTCTTGTGCAGCAGATTCACCTAATGCAACTTATCTTTTGGTCTCTTCACTGCTGCTTCCATGAGCAATGATTGTGGAGCCAAGCAAGACAAAATCCCTGACAACTTCAAACGTCTCTCCATGTGCCACAATGCTACCTAGTGGTCCCGTTGTGAGGAGTTTGGTCTTTACATTGAGTTGCGATCATACCGAAGGCTGCAATTCATGATCTTCATCAGCAAATGCTTCAAGTCCTCTTCACTTTCAGCAAGCCAGACTGTGTTATCTGTATATCTCAGTATATTAATAAGTCTTCCTCCAATCCTGATGCTACAGCCCAGGGGTCCTCAAACTTTTTAAACAGAGGGCCAGTTCACTGTCCCTCAGACCCATTGGAGGGCCGGACTATAGTTTAAAAAAAAACTATGGACAAATTCCTATGCACACTGCACATATCTTATTTTGAAGTAAAAAACAAAACGAGGCAAAAACACCCGGCGGGCTGGATGAATGTCCTCGGCGGGCCACATGTGTCCCGTGGGTCGTAGTTTGAGGACCCCTGCATAGTCTTTTAAAAACAATTCAGCTTCTCGGATTATTTCCTTAGTATAAAGTTGGAACAAGTGTGGTAACAAGTTACAACCCTACTGCACACCTTTCCGATTTTATACCATGCATTATTCCTGTTCTCTTCCCACAACTACCTCTTGATCCACGTACAAGTTCTGTAGGAGCACAATGAAGTGTTCTGGAATTCCCATTCTTCTCAAGGCTATCCATAGTTTACTATGATCCACACAGTTGAACGCCTTGGCATAGTCAATAAAACACAAGTAAACACCTTTCTGGTATTCTCTGCTGTGAGCTAAGATCCATTGAACATCAGCAATGATATTCCTTGTTCCACATGCTCTTCTGAATCTGGCCTAAACTTCTAGCAGTTTCTTGTCAATGTACTGCAACCATTGTTGGATGATCTTCAGCAAAATTTTACTTGTGTGCGTTATGAATGATATACTCAGAAAGTTATAAAAGTACAATCTTGATAGATTGCCTCAAAGGACACAGAACAATCACGAGAGCTTGTTATAAAGAAATTTAAGAGAATGAAAAACTGCCCTGGTGAGAAAAAGGCCAGGAAACTGTGCTGAGGAATTCTTTTTCATCACGATAATTTATTTGCTCACCCTTTGAGCACAGTGAGGACTGTCCTATGAGCATTTCCCTGTAAGTCCTACTCCAGCCAGTCTACACCCAAGAGTGCCTCTTCAGATCTCATTTCCTTCCTCAAACTCAAAGAACATTTCAAAGCATCACAATTTGAGTTCCTTTAGGATGTCAAAAGTGTAGTTTTGATTTGATATAAAACTTAAGAGTAAAAAAAAAAAATCTTAAGAGCGCAGAAATCATCAGGAAAGGGAGAAACCAAAATACCACCTTCACAAGTGTACAGACTTAGATGGAAACAATAGTGTACACGCACACACACACAGGTTTCTATGATTTTGTAGCAATCGTTTTTGATTTATCTTCATATATCTCTCACCCCTCCAGTCTACAAGGGGGTACCCAAAAATGCCCAGAAAAAAGCTGTGCTGGGTGGCGCTTTTGTAGTACATAATCGAGCAACTTGTTCTGAGTCAGTGCACCCAGTGGCGTCACCTGGGAAGGTTCTCTCTGGTCACAGTGGATTTTTTCATAAAAGTAGTTTCGCTCAAACCTCTCTCTTTTTTTTTTTTATGATGGCCAGTTTAGGAGAATACATGCGACTGTGAAATTTTGTTTCCTGTTGGGGAAAATGCTGCAGAAACTGTTGTGATGTTGAACACATCTTACAAGGGCAGTATTATGGGAAAAACTCAAGTGCACAAGTGGTTTTGTCATTTCAAAAAAGGTGAAATGTCAACTGATGACAAACCTTGTTCTGGACGTCCATCAACTTCCTAACAGACGAAACTGTCGACTTGTAGTGCATTTGGAGTTTGTTCCAAAGGTCAGACTGTTAGTTAAGCTTTCTACTTAGAGGTTCTGAAAAGACTGCATAACAATGTGTGACAAAAAAGGTGTGATTTGTGGCAGATGGGACTGGTTTTGCCACTACGATAATGCACCTGCTCACAAAGCCATCTCAGTTTACCAGTTTTTGGTAAAAAACACCATGCCTCTCTTGCCCCTCGCACTTTACTCATCTGATCTCAATTGCACGACTTCTTTTTGTTTCCGTGAATGAAGAGGGGCATGAAAGGCCAGCGATTTGACAACACAGAAGGAGTGAAGGAAAAAAACCCGAGGGAGGTGCTGTCAGCTATCCAAACAGATAAGTTTGAAAAATGTTTCCAAGAATGGAGTCACAGATTTGACAAATGTATTAAGTGTAATGAGAGTACTTTGCAGATGATAAGGTTGTTTTGTAAAAAAATGTAAATGCATAGCTTGGGGGTAAGGGATTTCTTTTTTTGGGGGTGTACCCCCTCATATTAAGAGGTTTGCATCATGCTCATTTGTAAATCCCTGGCACCTGTTACAGAACTTAATATTAATTATATTGAAATAATTAATATTTGATTTCCAAACCTATAAAATGCGCATAGTGCTTGCCCAGGTATTTTATAGGGTGTATATTATAACAATATGTCAAATGTGAAAATGTTCTGTAAGGGGTAAGTACAGAGGATATTAAAAAAAGAATACCCAGAAGCAACAAAGCCCACATGGAAGAAGCACACCAGCCTGTGTGACCACGAGCTGTCGAAGCGATCAGGTATCAAGCATCCAAGAACAAAAAATCTTATCATTGTAAAGGTGGGTGAGAGCAGAGTGGAGACTCAAAGCCCATCGGTGGGCAA